ACAGCTAGAATATAGGGGGACTATAATTCTGTGGTGAATGACATTTTTTTAATGCTGAAGATCCTAGATATATTCTCCTGCACTGAAAATTAGAGCTAGAAAAACCACTGTTTGAAATTGGGAACTCAGTGCCGTCTGGGTTAGGCTACTATGCCAGACTGTCCTCAGAATTGGGAGCATGGATTCTCTAGCAAATGGAAAGAATTTTTTATAGTCCCAGATTATTGCTGTTTGTGGTGGCAGGGAGATAGCATATTTTCAGTATAAAATACGTTTTGGTGCTGCATGGGGAATTGGTGCTGCAAATTGCAAAAAGGCTTTTAGGAGAATGTGTGTGGTTCACAGGTCACATTTTATTTATTTATTTATTTCTCGTATTTCTATCCCATCCTTCTCCACCCCCGAAAAGGGACTCAGGATGGATTTTACCCAACATTACACTAGTTAGACGAAGTGGTTCTCAATCAATGGGTCCCCAGATGTTTTTGCCTTCAATTCCCAGAAATCCCAACAGCTGGTAAACTGGCTGGGATTTCTGAGAGTTGTAGGACAAAACACCTGGGGACCCACAGGTTGAGAACCACTGAGTTAGACCAAAGAATGCAAAACAAATTAGCCAGGATGGCCAAGGGCCAGCTGATGCTGTGCTGAATATAGGCTCTGCCCAACCTAGGGATATTGGAAATTCCATAAAACTTGTTCTGTCTTAAGTTTGTGCATTGGTGTTATGACTGTATTCTCAGACTCAAAAAGAGCTGGGTCCTTTGTAATTCAGTTTATCCATTAGTGTATACCCTTCCCTGCTTCTTTTTTGGTTCTTCTACAAGCGGATGTTCTATCAGAAGCTCTTTCTGTTGGGTGACCAACTAACAACTGGTACTGCCAGGAGAATGGCATTCGTGCAGTGTTCATAGAAGAGACCTAGTTTTAAGCCTCTGCAGTGAAGTCACTTTGAGTATAGTTTGTTCTATTGTGATCCATAATGAGATAGCTTCCAATATTTTTGAAAGCCAAAGGAACCCCACTTCTGATCTTTCCCTTATAAAGTGTAGTACTATACTATGATGAACAGAAGCACTCTTTTAAACCCTTTTTAAAAAATTGATTCAGTATTCTATAATCTGTACCTGTAAATACCAAATTAAAAAATGGAAGTGGGTGTTTTGGTATTGCAGGGTTTTTTAAAAAACCGTTTCATACATAGGAAGGATATATAAGTTGTATGAGGAATAGGAGCATGTCTTCAGCTCACATAATGTCTCGCATGGCTAGTGATGGAAAAAAATTCATTGCAGTTGACAGACTCAATTAAAGTAGCCTTTTCACATCTCTTGGGGCTTATTGTGAGGAGAAAATTCATGCTACTTCAAGAATTCTTACATTTGTGAATTTTATACATTATTTTAGGGAAATAAAGCATGTTCAGAATAAATGGAAATGGCTAAAATGCAGACAGCTGAAAACATACATGCAAACATGCTTTAGTGAAGGGAGACATCAGTATATTAAGTGAAATATTAAATAAATTTGCATGCCAGGAGAAATGTGTGAAAGGGAATATGAATTTCAGTGGGGAAAGGAGAACAAAAAGAAGAAAATCCAGATGGGCTTTGGTGAAATGTAACAAAGCTGAGTATGTGAGATTTGCCGCATCACTTTACATGGCATATATGACTTTCTACAGAAATGTAGGGAAGTGAGTCCTGGCTGCATAATCTGTATGCAAATGAGAGACTAATTCACAATTTGTTTCTACACTTTGCAAGAAAAGGGCATTAGTCCATGTATTGTACAGTACAGCCTTCATGCTTGACCAAGGTGTGAACTGTCCTCATATTAGAACTGGTAGATGATTGGTGAACTCCTTGTGAATAATGATTTCTCATATCAGTGGAAAAATCAAGTGCCATATATGCCTGCCTGTCTGCAAGCTGTTTGCATGAAGAGGCCACCGTATATGAAACTAGGCTCGGCGCAATAGTGATAAACTAAAAAGGAACACAGGTGGGGAAAGGAAGGAGAAAGATGGATGTGGTGCACTTGGTCGCATTTCCATAATACCACATGTTCAGATTGTGACCTTGCAGATGATTTTTGAGCACAGTAGTCTATTTCCTGGAAACATGCGGTGTTATTATTGCAAAATTGCTGTGAAAAATGCTCATTGCTATGGATGAGGGCGAGAAAAAGAAGGCAGCACCGAGAGGAAGTCTGTGCTTTGTATGGACAAAAGGGTGTGGCTTAGGAACCAAATGATGGGAGAAGAAATGCTCTTTGTTCTGCAGTTAGGTAATGCAGGTGGCTCTGCTAATTAGCTTTTTTGGCATCCAAAACATAAATGCAGTTCACCTCCAGAGATCAAAATAAAGACAATGAATGTGTTGTCTTGAGAAAGGTAGCAGTGGGTACCATTTACAATAATGGCATGACTTGCATACACTTGGTTTCAGGCTACAGGTTTCTTTCTTTTTAAAAGAAATGCTGTATTTTGTTGCTTGTTTTCTTTATTGTTGGATTTTTTGTTCTGATATACTTACATACTACTGCATTTTCTAATACTTGGTGTTTTGATATTTGGCTTAAAGTGGGACCCCCCCCCCCCCCCCCCCCCCCCACACACACACACACACTCAATTTGACCTAAAATATGGATGGATGAATGGATATAAGCTTGTGGGTCATGCTTTGTCATTTCCACATAGTGTGAAACAGCATACAAGATAGGTAACTGTACCACCCACCCTTAATTTGAATGAGGAGGGGGAGAAATAGTCTGAAGGAAACAAAACAGTTTGAATCCAGCAGCTCTTGTTAGTGGGGGAAAAGAATATATGCATACCTTTGGCAGGTCTGAAAGCGGGAAATAGAAATTGCTTAGGATTTTCTTTACTCTAGAGCTGGAGTTCCAGGTAAGTAGGAAATCTTTCTGTTGCTTCCCCATCCTTCATATGTCTGTACTTGAGCTGAAGCAGGGGTTAATTTTTATCTGATGGAAACATCCAAGTAATAGAACAGGGTAAATATTCGCTGTAGAATTAATGTTGTAAAAAATGAAGTCTCTTTGTGTAAATCGGGATTATACATTCTCTTTGTTTGCAAAGAGCAAATGGAAACGCATGCACAAACAATTACAAGGAGAAGTGAGAAGTATCTCTCTTTTCCTCTGTTTTACTAAATCATTCTCAGATAGATAGATAGATTGTGTGATTTTAAAATCCTCCAGTTCAGGTATTTGTCTCCCCCCCCCCCCCCCCAAAAAAAAAAAAAGATGTCAAGTTCTCTTTCTGGAGATGAATGAAGACTTAACCACTCTAAATGGAGTCTTATGCTGTCCCATCCAGTGACTTGCTAACCTTAGTAGTACCAGCAGTTTGTAATTTCTTCCTCAAAAAGAACCTTTCAGATCAGTTACCTCCTGTTGAGAGCTAATTTTCCAGCAGTCAGGCTTTATCTGGATAAATAATTAGAGAGCAAGATGAAGACTATCACGCTGAGGCTGTCTGCCTGTAACACACTTCATACAGTTGATCCTTGTGATTCTTCATTTCTTCAGGATACTTGCACAGTCGTCGCTCTCTAAAATCTGTAGAGACAATGGGCAACAAAGGCAGTCGCTTTGCATTTGTCTTGGAAGAATTAATGACACATCTTATGTATTTGTCAGAAGTAAGCAAACAGCTGCCTCTTGCATCCGTGGGCAGGGAGGAAGCCTGGTTTCTTTACTATCCAGGACCTCCTGTTTGGTCAGGAAAAGCTGTAGGGTCAATATTGCGGAGAAGCATTTTCCAACTTTATAAGAATATGAAATATAAGCGTTGTTTTAAAATAAATGTTAAAACGTGTTCTCTCTTCTAGATTGAATTTATGGGTTTTTAAAAAACTGTTTTGGGAAGCTACATTTAGCTGGGATAATTAAACATGACACTCGAGCGATGGAGAGAGAGCAGCGCACATGTGCAACAATTTAATGAGTAGACAGTATTGTGAACTGTCTTCTGCTCTAGCTGCCCCTCTCTCTTGTAGGGTCCTCAAGCAATTGCGTTGTATTATTGATGCAAATCCCCGAGGAATATGTAGCAGTACATTGACACCTGCAAGTCCTTCTATGCATACTGCTATTTTTAAACAGAGCGCTTTGGAAACCCTTTAGTGCAATTTATTCTCCATGGGTAACTTCACAGCATTCTTAGGGAGAGCTGATTTGAAGTCACTTGTATGAGAGCGCCTCTTGCCCACTTTGAAGTGTGCTTGCCAATGCCCTCCCCCCCCCCTTTCTCCCCTGCCGCTGCACATTTACCTTGAGGGGGCATGACGCTTCCTTAGAAAATCCAGACATTAACAGAAACACTGCCTGGAGGTGCTGCAAAATCTCATTCTTTTACACATCAGCAAAAACAGAGGGCTGGGGGCATTTGTCCCTGAGTTGAACTAAATATATTCTTTCTCTCTGTCACAGACAATACTGGGTGTTTTTCCTCCCTCCTACTGGAGCAGCATGCAGTGAAACCACCCATACAAAGGGAGGTTTCAATTTGCAGTTCTTTGCATTTGTTCATATAGTGAAGGAAAGGTGGTCCAAATTATCATTGCAATAAGTATATTTTCAAAAAATCATTTTATTTCATGGAAAAACAGCTTTGTTGGCGGAAAGTCGCTGCCGGCGTGCTTCCTTGGTTGCAGCTGCTTTGCTCCCTTGAAATGAATTTCTGGCTACCAGATTGGTATCGGGAAGGGTGGGGTGGCAGCAGTGGATCTGTAGAGGGGATGGTGATGGAATGTGACTTTCCTTCCTGAAGAAGGACCCCTTGAGATGGCTACTATCTCTTGATTGAAACACACACACACATTCAGCTCTGGATTTCCATATTATAGGAAAGGGACGGGCTTCTCCTGTTCAATATAATGGAGCCATTAACATCTATTAATAATGCAGACAGGGTAAGTAGCTGGAGTTGGAGCCTCCCGAGGGGCCTCGCGAAACAGATGTGTACTGTATCTTCCCGGATTTGATGGCTGCTGGGGTCGAGGGGGTCGCTGTGGTTCCTGTTTATTTCCTCTGGCAGTGGTTTTCTAATTTAAGCACCTCTGTCTCCTGGCTACAGTAGCCTGCTGTGATGCAGAGTTGGGGAGGGGGGGAGGCGGAAGAAAAAGGAGGATGGTGGTGGCATGCCCCGTAGCTACTAAGCCTGGTGCCTAAAAAGGGCATGCTGGGTTTTAATCGGTACACCTCTGTGTGCACCACCCAGGCTGACTTTACTCTTTGTGTTTTCTTTGTAGAGGCATCTGCTGTGCAGAAGCAACACAGAGTGAAGGTCTTTTCTTTTGTTACCGGCACTGAAAGGTAAGCCCCTTCTTCCTTCTGCCTGATTTGAAAGGGGGCTGTTTGGGGCTGCTGGGGGGCAGGGGTGGAGAGCGGAATAATGCCTCTCATAAAGGAGCCTATACTCATCTATATCATTTGACACACACAGCCGGAGGCAGCCTGGAAGTGAAAATTACCCCTTATCTCTCCCTCCCTCCCCTCCGCCCCCATACAAGAAGATTTTGCATTTCAGTTTGTATTAAACCTCCTCCCCCTCTTTCTCTCTTTTTCCTGTCTCCCTATGTCTTTTTTCTGGCACCTGTTCTGAAGAGACAGAGATGCTTGCAAGAATTGCTTTCCCCACTTTTCCTTTAACTGTTTGAGGTTAAGGGATGGTGACAATAGGTTTCTACAATCGGTAGAAAAGTTCAGAAAGCGTGTTTCACTGTGTTGTCTTAAAGTCCAGTTTGTACTTCCTCGGACCGCAAATTGTTAGCATGGCTAAACAAAAGCTTTTGTTCCAAGCGCTAATTTCTCATAGACAATATACAGCAGCACCATTATTTGCATGATTCAGGGTAGGGCTGGCGTGGGGGGAGCGTAGGCTGAATGTAAGGCAAACAGCGGATGTAAATGTCTGGGCTTGGCCACAGCTGGGTTGCAGCATTGTCTTATGTGCTTTTACTAGAATGCAGAGGAATGCATTTCCGGAGAGATTGTCAAGAGACATGTTTTAAAACACTGCAACTGTTTCCATGACTCATTTCAGTCCCCTGCAGCAACAGAATAATGCTGGAACTTCAGGACTGTACAAGGCAATAGCATAACTACTTTGAAATCAGCAGAGCAATTTCCATTCCTATACAGGCTATTAAATACCGTACTAGTCTTTTGTTGCAAAGAATGCCACAATATAAAGGGAAGTCTATTGCATTCACTTATTCCTTTTCTCTTGTTCTTGCGTTTAGTTCCAGGGATGTATATTAAATAAGCACTAAGAAGAAATGCTAGGGACATGACGGATGTTTCTTACTTTCTTTTAAGGTGATGCAGGAGTTGGCCATATGTAAAGATATCTGCATTGTGTTGTCCATACACTGCTGCTAATTGGAACCATCAGCATGCTGTTAAAGTAATAAGGAACTGCTGTGATTGTTCCATTCACTTCATTCATGTCCTTCCCTTTCTTTTTGGCACCGATAAGCATAAATTATTCCCATGTCTCCTAGTAAAGCCAATGTGGTGGCCTGAGCAACAAATGTATTGGGCTTCTCTGGTTTTTACTCTGATATTATTTTACATTTTTTCCAGACTTCTGCATTGTTATAAAGCATTGGACAGCTCTGGACTCTCAGAGCTATGTATGCTTTGTTCAATTACTAGATTTGTGATTCAACCTTATAACGTTTCAGTGGCATTAAATCCACACTAGTAGTATATCAGAGACATGAAAATGTAGTATTTCTGAAGAAAAAGAAATCTAAGAATGATACACAAGAGACATTTTTCATTTATAAAAATTTCATGGACTGTTACTGGTTTGAGGATGAACAATTGGTATATGCAAATACAATAAAATATGCATCTCTTTTAAAGTTGTTGAATTGTGTTTTATTGTGTCAGTGATGGATAATTTCAACATGAATTCATGTACAAGTATTATTTTTGTTGATACTTTTTGTTATAGTGGAGTGGTAAGACTAATTAAAAATATAAAATTGGATAAGTCATTTGTTATAACAAAATTACATAGAGTAAAAACTGTAGTTATTTATCTGTACCACAAAGGGTGTGGGCAACATTAAAATGTGTGGATGAATCCCAAAACAGAATTTAAATGCTGTGACTTTTGAGGGCTGTGGCAAATGAATAGTTTTCACTGATGTCTCTTGAAAAATATAATTATGAACTTTGTTATTTATTGGTTTATATATTTTTTAAAAACCGGATTACTAAAATTATCCCTTCATTTTGCATCGATGGGTGCTTTGCACTTAAAATTATCCTATTGTTCCTAATAGAGCAAATTCGCAAGGACTCCTTTCCAAAGGACAAACTGAACCTAAAATAACTAATTATTGTTCCTCAAAAAATACTGGATTGGATTTTTAAAATTTAAAAATGTTTTGTTACCTGTCTAGGCATAAAATGCCTTGATGGATGGCTGAAGTATTGAGGTCAGAATTATTAAAAGTTTTAATGCATTATTGTTATAATATTATTTACATTTTGTAGTACCATCTGCTTTGTAGAGAATCCAGATACAAATACTTCTTCTTTTGTAATATGAGTGTATTTTATGTTTAATATGTTTAAAACAGAATATCTCTTGATATACGTAACATCCAAGATACTATGTATATCAAGAGATGTCTATAATAACTTCCAAGATTTAAGAAGAAATTTGTATAAAACAATGAATGCTAAAGTAAGATGTGAAGATAGTATTTCTTGATCATACCACCTTCAGCTATGTACACCTACCAACCAAACATGGATATTTTACGTTGTGCCTTGCATGACACACCTATTGTCAAAAGTCTATGTTCTGGGGGGAAACAAAGGAAAGTTGCTCTTTCTTTTGTTATAATTCCTTACCATCTTTAACTCGTTGAATGCTGCAGATGTTACTTAATACAGTCAGAATTTCTAAATGTAATATGTAGTAGTGAGAAGATTTCTATATAATAGTACATATTTATGGAGCAAAACAACAAAGAACTGCATCTTAATGTCCCTTGAGCACAAATAAAAATGAATTTTCATGTGCAGAATATTTGCGATGTAAAAATATTAAATTATGTAAAGAGAAAGAAGAATTGAACAGTGTATACTGTAGTGTCATCACAATAAATAGTATACAATATTAATTAGCAAATCTTCTTGCCAGTGTGTGTGTGTGAGAGAGAGAAGTAACAAGTGATTAGTACATTAGAAATAACCTGCTATTTATATCGCATATAAATAGGGGTTTTCTCTCAGATTCAAGATGACAGGCTACTTTAAAATGCAGAATTCACTGCTTCTGTTTGTTTTAAAATGTAGAGTCGAGTAAAATGCCTCCAGCAAATTTCTTTGTTGGGTTTTATTTTTAAGTGTTCTGTTGTATGTGGTTCCCACTACTCCTTCTATGCATTGGATGAGTAAAACTTAATTTTTTTAAAAAAAACATTTTAATCTTTGAACACACAGAATCACTGAATGTTTTAGTACCACATTTCACAGGATGTACCAAACACACATCATGTTAAACTTTCAAAATATAAATGTTATGTTATATTATTTATTTATTTCATTCACTTATACCCCGCCCTTCTCACCCCTGGGGGGACTCAGGGCGGCCCTGGGGGGACTCAGGGCGGGCTCCCACTACTATATGTGGCTCCCACTACTCATTCTTTGCATTGGATGAGTAAAAACTTGTCTCTTAAAAACCATTTTAATCTTTGAACACACAGAATCATTGAATGTGTTAGTACCACATTTCACAGTATGTACCAAACACACATCATGTTAGACTTTCAAAATATAAAGTGTACTTTGATTAGGATTGTACTTTTCCTCTAGGTATGCCTCAAAGGGGGGAAGGGGTTAAGATTAGGAAAAACACAATAGCCTTTAGAATAGGAAAACCATCGGGGAAATTCATGGCCACTACTAGCCTCTTTTGCCATAAAAGAACAATCAAACACTTTCTTATAACATGACTTACAATCTGAAATGGAAATACAGAAAAGATATTGGTCTTTAACTTAAAACAATTACCAATTGCCCACTTTGTTTTATTGCTACACTTCTACCAAACAGTAGGAACCTCACAAAAAAAACTGGTTTAATGCATGTTTCTGATAGAAAACTGAAAAAGTAGCTTACTTATCAGAATTATTCCATGGTGGAGTTGGATGTCATATTTTCTATATTACAAAGTATGACATTGTTATGAGTATGCATTTAGAATTTTCTAATTTACTAAATAGCTGTTTAACAATATATTCTGTCTCTTTTGTGCTGTGTGCTTTGAAAGGTTAAGGCAGACAATGACAGCAAGAGATCCTTTATAAATTCTCCCCTTCTTTTATAAGTCTGATTCCTACTTTATCAGTAGTACATATAACCCTTGCCAATAACTGCAGTGAGGTAAGGAGAATTTTCGCAGTAATTTGATGACTGGAAGAGATGAGTTGTAACTTGCATATCCGAAATGACTGTCATAGATTTCTAACTGCTTCCCATTATGATATTTTGGGCGAGGTGTTTCATATGATGATCTACTGAAAGGGTATTTCACCTGCATAGTCAACCTGAAGTGACCCCACCCACTCTCCCCAACAATCCAGTTAATCTGCTGGAGAAAAAAACAGAAGCTGCCATTTTCAATAAAATTGCAATCTCAATAGAGGTTGCTGGGGGATGGGAGAGGCTTTTGCTTTTATGCGGAAATGTGCATATGCATGTGCACACATATACACAACAGAGAGAAAGAGTAATCAATCCTTAGTTTTCACTGGCAAGAAGGCATGCTTTAAGCTACTCATATCACTCTACTCTTGAGATGTGCTGTGGAGGGATCCCTGTGTTCACACATGAATGTGCCCTCTGTCCCCATCGCCAAGCTTGGATGCAGCCTACAGGATTGAAAACATTAGGTACTACAGTCTATCCATTGATAAGCCATGAATCAGTATCAAGTGATTATATTGAATGTTTTATATTGTGTATAAACTGTTTTAAATTGTAAGTCGCTCAGAGCACCTTGGTGGAGAGCGACTAATTAAGAAATAAAGTGATTATGATGATGATGATTACTTGCATATTTGGAAGAGCCACTCACAAATCAAATGTCACAGGCAGTGTTGTTATTGTCTCTTGTCTCCCTGCTGCAAATGGAGTTGTGAGACATCAAGTGATGTATATTAATGTATTGTCGAAAGCTTTAATGGCCGGAATCACTGGGTTGTTATAGATTTTTCGGGCTGTATGGCAATCATAGAATCATAGAATCAAAGAGTTGGAAGAGACCTCATGGGCCATCCAGTCCA